GTTAGACTGTAGTATCGGACTTGTCGTAAACCAGTGCACTTGACATTTTTTACGCACATCATGCTATCATGTCAAAAAGTGTATTTTTCAAAAACTCCATTTTAACCCTCTCAGAGTTGCTGAGAGTCAGAAACCACTCACAAACCATTTGAAAATTCAGTGATCTGTGCTTATAATTCTATCAAATGAGATCCTGCTTCGCCTCTATTCCCAGACAGGGAACTTTATAAGACCACCCCGGGGCTCATCCGTAGGGAGCACTGAAGAAAGGATAGTAGTAACAATATAACGTAATCACCTTTTATACCTTTGGGGTAGCTCAAATAAACCAAAGGCTAGGCCGAGGACTCAAATCATGCTGTTTACGGTAAGATGAACAAATTTTCTGACATTTCCGAAATCACTTAGTTGATGATTGTACTTGTATACAATAGTAATACAGTTTTAAAAGTAATGCATGTGGAAATCCCTAGTTTTATTATTTTTTCCATAATTCAATTTGAGTAGCAGCTCAACCAAGTTTTTGATTCTTTCATAAAAATCTTCAAATTTAGTGCTTGTTCTGTAGATTCTCAAAACTTCTGTATGAATAATAGCACTTGTGACTGTAAGCTTACGTGTGAAGTTCCATGAGAAAATCTTACAACTTCAAAGCCAAAAGCTTCTGTTTTACTATATTGCTTAATGATGACAATATACTTTTCAATAAGGATGATGTCAAGTCAAATGTCCTTTAAATATTCCAAAAAAAATTTTGGGCAATTATAACATTTCTTACATTTAGAGAAAGGAGGTTATGTTTTTGAAAAGAGAGCTCTGTACGGACATTTGCAACAAATACGCGCCCCTCATCACTTGTACTTGTTGCAGATGCGCGCGGGCCTTTAGCTTTCGGCTACATACAATTCATCAACTTCCTTCTTTCAGGATAGCTAATGAACACTGCTATGGTACTATCGTTTATTTTTGTATACAATGCTTCTTACTCCAGATCATTTTAGGAAAATAAGGGAATTAATGAAGATCATTCATTGTGAACGATTGTGCATATGACAACAAGTTCATAAAAGACTGTGTACTCAATCAGTATTTATCGTATCGTATTAACTGATTGGATTTCAGATCAAACCCAATTCTTCACTCAGACTTTTACTTTATTTTCATCTTATTTTGTCTTGCACGGATGCTTGAACGTTCTCGCGAACTAGTTTCTGCATCTATAAAAGATTATTAGCTGCCATTTTCTATAGATGTTGAGGTACCAAACGTACCGATTTTACCTTCACCGCGAAGAACGATATCGCTACGGTTGAAAATGCTGAAAAAACTTTTGTTAGCGCATTGCTTATTCTCTTTTAACTTTCATGTGGAACTGCACCTTCACCTCTGGAACCTGCTCTCATTATATTCATTATATCATCATCTTTATCTTTTACTTCCATAAAAGTAATGCCGAAACTTTACAGGAGATGGCCGAAAGTAATTCAAACAATGTATCACTGCAAAATTAGTAGTTGAATTGCTTTTCTTTACAAAGTCGGCAAGCTGTAGAGTAAGAGGCGTCGGATTGTATCAAGCTAATTGAAAGCATAAATACTTTGATGATCGGAAGCGAAGAAAGTTACAGTTGCTGGTAGAAAGTACAAATATAGCTTGTCTTATGGAAAGCTCAATGGCTAGAGGAAATGTGAGATTTTTCTGCTGCTTTATGAGTTTAGTCACGCGTGACTGCAGGATCTAAAAGAAGCCATCATCCTTCAACTTTTATTATGTGCGGAAACCTTTTAGGATCATTGTTCATCCACCAGGCCATCTTTAGAGGCAGCTGGCAGGTTTTCAACCTTCATTTTTTGGTCCGGTTCTTTCAATGGCGCTGAATTCAAATATGAGGTTAGAAAGCATAAAGCATCAAAAATCTCAAAGGCAGTGTTCAGGCGAAATCTAATCCCCTCCGATCAGTGCCGATCTTGAATGTTGGCCCCAGGCGAGGGGCATCTGCTTAGGTCCTGTCCTCTATGTATATGGTGGTAGTGGGCCTGGAATAGCCAAAGTGCTGTCAAGCCCCGCCCAAATCCTATCAAGCTCCACCCACCCTTGTACTGAAAGCCGTCCGCGCCCTTCGAACTTGTTTGAATTGCACTGGCGCTAGCTTTGTCGAAAACAAGCATGAACACGTCAAACAATATGTATTTTATTGTGCTTGCCATGCAAAAACGCGTCAAGGCGCCTTAAAATATTTTGCTCAAGGGGGCGGTCGGCACGCTGAAGTGGGCGGTCCGCACACAGCTCCAATTTCTTACATGTCAATTTTACGGCTTTCTCCTTTTCGAGGCAGTTTTTAGAGACCGGCTTGCACAGTAGTTCCAGCTCGAGTTTATAGTACTTGATTATGGCAGTAGCCAAATCTGACAGGAGCGCCTCTAACTTGTCCTTTCAAAAATTGTCGCTGGGGCTTCAAACGAGGTTTGGTTAGAGAGAGGGGCTGGAGATTGGGATTTTCGCAGACTCAGTTGGAGTTCAAGTGGTGTCCACCCCAATCAACCATCGTGTTTACAGTCACTGTAACCCCAAGTACGCCCCAGAAGAGCCTCTCAAAGATGATCACCTTTTGTAGGGCTACCACCTTCAAGAGGTATTCTCCAGGGAAGTGTTGTGTAATCCACAAAAACTGACTCGACATAGTCAGACTGACACTTGCACGATACCGTAATAAAAATTACTTGAAGTGTCATATGCTATTTTTTGATCTATGGAACGTAATCTAGCCATGTTTGAAGAGCTGCAAAGCACAAATCTTCTATTCAGTGTAAATGAAAGTTTAATACTAGATCAGCGGGAGTCCTTTTTTTGGTTATTCGAGAACTGTTGCCTGACACCTTCGTACTTCTGCTAAAGTCCTGTTTTGCCGTTGGTTTTTGTTTTGCTTGAAGCTTTCCTCACACTCAATCCAGTTTGCTTCCAATCGATCAAAATAGGAAAAAATTCTTAAGCCATTGACAGGGACAGGATTGGTCACAAAGAGCAAGGGGTCCTATATTGTTCGCCTTTCACTGAAAGAACATAGTTCCAATAAAATTGTTTATTTTTTATTATTATAGCGGTACCAGTATTCTCTACAATGTCATTCAATAATTTATCCGAAATAGCTCAAAGGGCATCAATGTTGCTATAGCAATTATATCATTTATGAGACAAAGATAATCTGTTTTAAATGCAATTTTTTTTATTCTCTAATTAAGACCCTCCTAAATCGAACGAAGGCATAAATCTTATATATAAAGTTGTGCATGTCTGTCTTGTGTCTTGTTTGTCTGTATGTATGTACGTATTTTCCGAATAGAAAATTTTATTTCTGAACCGATCCGGACCAAACTTTGCATACATACACTTCGGGGCCGGGCGGGTGTCATAGGCTACGTTCCGTCATTGGGCGATATCGATTTTATCGATTTTTTCAAAATTTGGACTGAATGGCTGGGAGTTGGCACAGGAGGTAAGTGGGCATGCTGATTTCGAAAACAACACAGGGAACCGAAAACGACGTGTAGAAGTGGGCACAGGGAAGGGGGGACCTTTATCACAGTGTTGACAGGGCAGAGCCGGGTAAGCAAGCTAGTTATATGATAATCCTGAAAACTGACTTTTCCTCTCGGGGGGGGGGGGGCACAATAGAAATTTTTATCGATTGAATGGACGTAGCTAAGGCCAGGCCCCCCGAAAATTTTTACATAGCTAATTTGAATTACAAAAACTTTTGGAACATATTTCAATTATCTACAAGTAATCAAGTCGTTTGTACAAATTTATAGCTCACGTAGGTAACTCCAGAAAGTTTCGGCACCCATTCTCTCCCCTTCCCCCTCTCGTCCGCCACTAGAAGCCTCCTCTCGCTTTCGTTATGTTTGAACATATGCTGAACCTACACAGAACGGTCACCTGTTTGGCGATCTGCTCTTCGCTAACCCCCTCTAGCTTCCAGTTCGAATCTATTGTTTACTTGGTGCGGTTCGTATTGTTGAGCCGGCTCGGCACAATAAAGCTATCATGTCTCATTAACTTGCATTTTCTGTTTATACTTCACCATAAGTTGATCTTATGACTTCAACTCTCCTTTGAAATTTATCGTCTCAGTATGGTGCATTTTGAGTGATGTGAGGGCCTGCAAAAAATTTCAGGAACTTTTTGCTGCCTTCTAAAAAATCTCAGTTACAAAGAGATATCGTAACCACTATTATTGGGTTGGCCCATTGATCTTGCGCCAAAAAATGCAAATAAATCTAATAAATTGTATGCAGAATTGAATTGACCATTATATGAAGCAATGAAACAAAGATTATATGTAAATCAATCGTTTATGAAATACCTAAAAAAGTTTCGATTCATAATGCGTATTTTCTGTGACAGACAACGAACGTTCCACTGTATTTCGTTTTATCTTTTTCCAGGTGTTCATTAATCAATTGTTCTATTTTACCATGCATATGAGACATCTTATTTTTAAAAAAATCAAATGTCGCCTATAAAAGCTCGAAAGTCATAGTTATTGGCAGAATTCCGATCAGTACAAGTAAAGTAAACAATCAAACTTAAAATTGAACTCGCCCAAGTTCTTCAACAACTTTGGCGACAAAATCTGAAAAAACAACTTGACTGTTTCTATTTATTTTCAGTTCACCCGCTTTTTGTGTTCTTGATATGCCATTATGAAGTTTTGCTTGTACAGCGATAATTACAGAATTTCTTTTTCTGCTCTACACTGAACCAATCAGATTTGATGAAATCATTAGCGACTATTAATTTTTCGAAAAAAAAATTGCTGCAAGACTTATGGACCAACACGTCTACTGACTCTTTAAGCGGAATTTATTTTTATGCGCACATCGAATCAACTATATGGCTTGAGTTGCAGGTCAAAAGTAAAAAATCAGAGTGCAAAATTTTCTACTTTTCCGCTGTTTTAATTCTATCTAAAAAATTGAAAAAATTTTGGTTTTATTTAGCCTATGGTAGAAAGCCGATGGCGCCCTAACGAGACTGCCTACGACTGCTACTCACATCAACCAAACCTACCGCATAGTGATCTACGAAATTCCAGGTAAATATCACTGCAAAAAAATTGGTGATTTCTATGAATTTGTAAAAAAAATTTACTTGCCTTTAGGTTCGGAGAAAATACGTCCGGTTTTTTGCATCGCAGCTGCACCAGTGAAAACTGGCAATAAAACTGAATTGTGAATTTCGCGCATTCCATTAACCCCACTAGACACCCCCTACCCCCCCCCCCCCCCCTCCCCCCCACCCCGAAACAAAGCACATCGGCTGCGACTTGTTGACATTTAGAATGGTTACATAGAGGTCGTACACTCCAATGCAAGCAAAGGTAGCTACGGCATGTCTTACTTGCTTCGTCATCCTCTTCACAATAGTCCATGCTCATCGATCAGAAGTGTTTACCGATTAGCACAAAAAGCTCTAATTTGTTGATGTTTACGCTTTAACAAATTATTTTGATGTGTTGCACATTTATAGGTATCAATCGTCACAAGGTCGTCCTTATTGTCAACATCCAGCACAAGTAATGCTACGAACTCGGCAATTTCCTGAGGTAAGCTCATCAACTTTAAGTTGATCCGAAAGTTTTTGCGCTTTCTTTAAAAAACGCAACTCTCCACAATCTCCATGAATTTGTTTTTAATAATTTTGTTGGAATTATGGAAATTATAAAGTTTCTAATGATAGCTTTTACTGCATTCTACTGGCGCAATTCGAAATTTTCCTATCGTTAACCACAATTCAAAAACTAGAGCGGTAAAAATCTTTGAAGCTAGGAAAGGCTCGCCTTAGTAATAGAAGTTTTTAGAAATCTTCTTATCGTTGACCACAATTTGAAAAAAACATTCGTAGGGCTAATTGTCTTAGTAGACCGCCATTTGGATCACACAAATAATATTTAGGTCGCCGGTATATATGGTTGCGAGGAGCAACCGTCACTGCGCCGTTTCACCCGATATGGTAACACGATGATGGATTCGCAAACGTTTATATCAGCTCCGCCTCCATCAGCAGCATTTTCTAAAAGGTTTGATTATTCCTTGCATTGCGATTAGTAAGTTGCTCACTCTACTTTTTTCGGCAAAAATTTATGACAAAGAATAGGAGATTATCGTCTCCTCCGTTTGTCCTTTACTTATCTCCGCCTCTAATTTTGGCGTACTGCCTAACGGGGCATTTGGCTCCGATTTCCCTTTTTTCTTGTTCCAAATGCAATTCTAACAATCCATATCATTTCAAAGGTCTTGCAGTTTATAATCTAACAATATCGTTTGGCTTCTTTTCAACTTGTAAGAGAAAGTGGCAAGAATTTTCCAACTTTACCCCTTAATCAAGTTTTTTACGTGATCCAGTGCATACATCAGGTCCTGCTCCTACCTTTGACAGTTAAAAAAGATATTTATACCTTATATAGTTCATATGTTTCGAAGAGGCTCGAATAGGTGGAAAAAAGGATTTTTTCGTCGCTTTGTTCTTAAATAGGGGATGAGAAAAGTTTGCAAAAATTGGTGAACGTAGCCAACATGATTTATAAAAGTGCAAATCACCTGTTCATTTTTGGATGAATTGACACGATTTTCCATTTTCTCCATATGAGCCTCATAAAAATTTTTTTGGGTACTTGGCTGTCCCAGGATTGTAACCCCGCAAAAGAATCTAAAAGAATCGCTTCCATGGTTTCTACAAGGTTCCTACACACGTTATTTGTATTCTGTAAAAAAAGACGACGCATCACAGAGTCTAGCAATTATCCCTTTCCTGCCCTTGTCCTAAAAAAGTATGTCAAGTAGTAATTTTCACGGCAAACAGTCATTATGCGAGTTACCCACATACGCTTATCCAAGAAATGACTAACAGATTGAAATAACGTAGATATACTAGTGAAAGCTGCGTGGGCCAACAACTTTTAAGCTAGTGCATTGATTATTTTTTGCAGCTTAAAGAAGCCATCTTTCTTCAGTGGGAACTGGACGTTTCGAGATCGAAAGCATTCTCGTCCCGGAGTGTTTTCGGATGGCATACGCAGGTAGATGAACACAAAGTTCGTTACTTCTTCAATGTAGAATTTTCAGAGATGAGCGACCAATGAGTATGAACTTTTCGGAACAACGCGCAGTACGTAGTAAAAGTGAAAATTCTCCCCGGCAACTTGAGGTGCGAGTTCCGATGAGGATACAGAAATCAACCGATGAAGAATCATTGCGGACTAGGCAGAGCTCGGAAGCATCTGTACTTTACAAAAGTGAGGACTTCTTCTAGTCCTGCACTTAATATTTGCCTTTGTAAACTTAGTTATATTCTAGCAAACATCACGGTCGATGATGCTGCAGCGATACTTCGGCCCAAAAAGAATTTGGAAACAAACAACAATCGGTGCAGTTACTTGTCAAGGCAATATTTGAGTCCGATTCGCCAATCTGCTCTTTATTTTTTATTTTTATTTCAAAACTTTTCACGCGAAACTTTGCATGTACTTCAAAACAAACGCCAAAGTAATTCCAGCAATCAGCTACGAAAAAGTTGTCCTGATCTTGATGCGGCCGCATCAGCTCCTATTATGGAGGAACGAGGGCAGAGAAGAAGGAATCGTAGAGCGAAAGAAAAGATCAAGGAGGCTTGCTGGAGGAAAAAGCCTATTGAGGTAAGATTACGTTGTTCATTATTTGAATTGATGCTTAGAATAGGAATATGGTGCAATTTTGGACAGTTATGCAAAAGTGGGCGGAGTTTGCCACTATGGGTGGAGCTTACCTAGTCAGGACGGAGCCGGGGTATGGGTCTCTTAAGGTCTGCGACTCGGCCTCTTCCATGCATATTAAGTGGGCTTTTGTAAAGGGCACCGCAGTGGGCGGAGTTTGCCATGAAGGGGAGGGACCAGTATAACCACATCCACAATTTTCAAAACTATTATATTATGCAAACTTCACTTTCTTCACATCAATAACAGAGCTATTTGAAGGAATGGGCGCTAGACGATGTCCTATTGTGGCTTCAAGCTTGCAGTTTGGATGATGTGGCATCTCTTCTCATCGGTTATGACATTCGTGGGACGGACTTACTCACATGGGACGACAACTGCTTATGTATGTGCACAACTTACCAACTTCTTCTATATATGTAAATTCCAGCACAACTTGGAGTTACGAGCACATCTGTCCGAGAAAAGATTTTGGGAGAATTAGCAGCCATACGACGGAAGGGTCCAGAGGATTCGAAAGAATCGGAGAAGAAGAATGGTCATCGAGCCCTGTTCGATATTGTAAAACAAAGCACTTATGATCAGGTCTGGTACATAATATTGTCAATATGGTTCGGCAAAAGTGTTGCTGTATTGATTTTAGAGGAAAAAGCAATAAAAATATCGCAATCTAATTCTTACGAAGATTTTACGAAACCAAAATCTCAATTATAATAGAGACCTTTTTTGCAATATGACATCATCTTTTGAAGAAGGAAGCGTATAGATAGAAGCATTTTGCAGTAAAAAAATTTTTTATAGCTTCCGTCAAACCCTAGCTTATAAATTAGAGAAAACAAGATTTCAAAAGTGTTCAAACAACAGGTGCTTGCTGTGGAAACTCCGCTGACAACCCGAGACATCATCGTCACTCATGGACGTCTTGGATGTTTGCAAATTATCAAAATAAATGGGGCCAATCTTCCGCTGCGAGAAAATGATTGGTGAGTATTTTTCGAAAAGAAGTTCGCTGATTCTGTCTTTTAGTCTATTGGAAATCAACGACACTCCTGGAGAACAGTTTAAATCAGCATTGATGTTGACGAAATTGATCAGTGACTCGTATGGAGCGCCTATTCGTTTCGTTGTACTTCGTATGAAAACTCAGGATAGAGTCGACGACAGTTCTGTAAGTTTTTAATTTGCCCAAGCTACGTTTCAGCCTTCAAAATCACTAATGCTTGAGTAAATAAAACTTGTACAAAACTACAATTGCTTTTATGGAACAGAAGCTTATGAATGTGTAAAGTTCTCGAAAGGAGACAGCAAACAACAAGCTTTTATTCTTACCATTGCAGAACGAAACTTCAAGCAGTGGTGTCTCGTCCTCACCGCGGAGTCCTAGCGAATGACACGCTTCTCTACCGGTGAGAAGCACAGAAACCAAAAACTTTTATAACGACACTAGATGCGGGTTACACATTCTTCTACATTGAAACGCATCTAATTAAAGGTTTGAGATATTAGCAAATTCAGTCTAGTTACGAGTGTTTATAGCTGTCATCACATGTAAGAAAGAAAGTACCATTGTCAGAGCTTATTGCAACTACCCTGTCATCTTCTGTAGAAATTGTTTTTTTTTTCAAAGTTTGCTTGTATATCTATATATAAAGCTTAACGTAAAAAATTTGAGTCAACCAGCGTACCGAAAAACCTATATTGGTACGGCTTTCGCCTGACCACAGTCACGAGGGCCGGTGATAATCTACCATACCTGATGGCGTCATGTTGCCGGCAAGTTGGCAGACATCGCGAGAAGTTGCCAACTCCGGAGGCAGCTCGCGGAGTGGTTATTGGTTTTGATAATTTTATATTAGGTTGTCCCGAAAGTTTTGTCCGTTTCTTCAACCTGTCATAAAAATACGTGGAACAAAGATAGGGAAACGCTTTAAGCACAGCCCGACGCATCTTTTCCTCCTCTTTCCATATGTCATAATCTTGTACAGATTACTCTTTTGCTTACTGAGATAAACGCCGAAATTTCGAACCCATGGTTTTTATTATGTCCAAGTTTGAAAATTTTTCACAATCTTCATTTTCAACTTTTGGAAGGTCTTTGATAGCCTTCAGATAGAGTAAGCAAAGGGCAATATGCAATGCAATTATTTGGCATATCTAGCTGGCTTTTCAATATTTTTAAAGATAATTTTTTCAAAAGTCTTCACTTTTGCGAAGTTCTAAAATACAGAAACGCCTCGAACACCAACGAATCATCGGATTTTGAAGCTTTTAAAAACCGATTACGATTATTCACTATTTTTACGAAGCAAATGAGCGTTTACCGCTTCGAAATATAAGACTTTGCATTTTACGTGTACACGCTGGGTGGGGTCAAATTCAAGAAGTATGAAAATTTTATTGCCAAGGACCCCGCAAATTGGAGAGAAAATAAAGCTGCATCGAATAATACCTTAGTTGTGCGCCGTTTCATGATTTCTGACTTTTGGCATCACTAAAAGTGGTATTTGATAGCATCAGAAAAATAATTCTAAAAAATTTTCAAGGCTGGCTATAGATGCCGCAAAATTGCATTATATGGCCCTTTGTTTGCTCTATCTAACTGTTGCCAAAGCTTTTCCAAAAATCAAAAATAAAGATTGTGAAAAATTGCCAAACTTGGACATAGCAAAAACCATGGGTTCGAAATTTCGGCGTTTATCTCAGTGAACAAAAGATTAATCGGCATGGAAGCATGACAGTTAGAAAGAGAAGGAAAAGATGCGTCGGATAGTGCTTAGAGCATTTCCCTATCTTTGTTCCACATATTTTTATGACAGGTTGAAAAAACGGACAAAACTTTCGGGACAACCTAATATTATCTTAGTCCACAGTTACTGTCTCTGCAAGTTTTTACGGCGTAGTTTTCAGCAAAACGATGACATCCGCTCGAAACTGCATGCGTTGACTTTGAGCGCAGTCGCGCTAACCAATAGACCACTTCATCATTTACTTTATTTGCAAAACAGTACAGGAACGCACAAACAGGTGACGCCTGTAAGAGGGCGTGATAGTATACTGAGTGATAGACCAGGAATCATTAGGTTCTAAAAACTTTTTTGAATTTTTGCATTCTTGCTAGATAGTGAAAATTACATAGATTCACACGTTTTTTTCTGCAGTTTGAAAAGAAGGCGAACAAGTGCAACGTTGTCACGGATGAAACATGTTAAAAACAATCTATTCATGAAGAGCAATTTATGCTTCTATCACAGTCGGTCTGTAATTGATCATAATAAAGCAATCAAAAATTTGATACATATTCAATCATGAATGTAATATTACCAGTAATCGATAATTAAAAGGTAACACATCAAACTTTCGAGTTATACAGGCAGTAACATACAAAAGTGAATTCGAGAAACCGGCGTCTGAGGAGATGGTAGATTGTGTCAATCAAAGGCTTATGTAAGTCGCTATTATTAGCGTGACTATCGATAGAAATGAAGATAATGAGGAAGAGTTGCATAGATCCTTGTCACAGCAACACTTGACCACATTTCTCCTAGGAGAAATACAACCATTGCTCTGAAAAGACGAATAAAAGATTATATCTTGAACCTGTGGTAAGGAATTTTACAGCAGAACTTCTTGTAACTTACTGTGCACTGAAAGCCTTGGGCGCATGTATATATTGCTTCATAGATTCCACCACCACCGTATGCTTGAGCTCTAGGTAAGTAGATGTAGAGTTGCAGCGTTTAGAAAAGTTTTATCTTATTCAACAGCACTGCTCATAATATATAGTGTTGAGATGACAAATAAAAATTTGTGGATGATGCATCCTTCTGTGCTTAGTTCGAACTAAGAAGAGTATTCAAAATGTTTGTATGCTTTTTTTTGCAATTTAAAAAAAGGCGGACAAGTGCTACGTTATCAGGAGCGAAACATGCCAAAAACATAATCTATTCGTGAAAAACAATTTATGCTTCTATAACAGTCGGTCTATAATTGATCACAGTGAAGCAACAATAATTTGATACGTATTCAATCATTAATTACCATTACTAGTAAGAAACGTCAGAGCATAATAAGCCCACTTGTATTGAAATTTGTAGTATTGTAGAACATAGCAGTGATGATTTTGAAATTAAATGCAAATTATTAGCCTTTGAAGATCAAATCTCTGCCCGGAAGGCTTTAGAGGAGTCGATGAACGGCAAGAATAAAAAGCTCTCTATCGCAAGTGGTCTACTGCCGTATCTTGCGTTATGCGAACTATGAGATAGCTGATCTGTACATGAGCAGCCTCATGCTGTTCCAACTGCTCATTTCGTTCCTGCAGTCCATAAAGCAAGTTCTGAAGGGGATACACACTGCTACCAGTGATACACTAGGTGGGTAAATTTCCACACCCAGCCTCTCGATCTTCATCCTAGACGAATCGAGTACGCAGATGGGATAAGGACTTGGCAGCAAGTAAAGTGATTACAACGTGATGACATTTTTCAGGTTTCTGAAGATGGCGCGCAACCTAAACGTCAAGCAATAAAGTATATAATTGTTAAAAACCTGTACGGCACAGAGGATTAAGTGAAGTATTCGAAATGTTTCGACTTTCGAAAATGCTAAACTTTATTCAGTTTCGGCTTTGGATTGTCTAGCATTCTTGTTGCTATGCGAATGTGTTGCTCTAGAAACTCGCAAAAAATGCAGCCTCTGAGAGTGAGGAGTAGATTTGGAGAGTGAAGTGGGGACTGGCAACCGATTGCTAATCTATCTTACCCAATGGCGTTACAAATGGCGGCAAGTTGGCAGATATCGCGAAAAGGTGCCAATTCCGGCGTTAGCTCGCAGCCCGGTCATAGATGGTCGCCATGCTAGCATCGCATCGCTTGAACCCATATATCGACGCTAAGGACCAAACGCGCATGTTACACACATTACCAAAAAACATAGAAGTATGCAAGGGGTGGTGATTGTGGACACGGCCACTGCACACGTGCGACTTTGGAAAAACGTCAGAGCGAGACGAGCAACGGAACGCAAAAAACGTTCGCAACAAGATTTTGGAAAAGATACGAAAATGAGACAATAGTTACGAGATAACAGTCGATTTACCCTTCATATAAAACACCAAACTCGAGGTGCTCACACTTTCTCTCTCGAAAGAGCTCATCGTTTCCTGTGCACTGTGACCGAACGGCAACTGTCATCTTCACGAATTTTGACAGTGCCAGCAGGATATCTCGGCCGAAAGTAAACCCCCCCCTCGAATCGTGACGACTCGCTCGGAGCGCGGCAAATGCCCAGCAAATTCCTTTCTGCTGTCGCCCCATGATAAGGTATAGGCGATGTGACCGAGGCATATGCCCGGCGTAACGCCGCGGCAACGCCGCCGGCATGACAAGGGGCATCAGCATGCCCGTCATGCAGACAGTCGGGAAATAGTGTACCTTGGTTAAAGACGCAGAGAGGTCGTGGTGAAGAAAACTGACTAGCGGTCGAGTACGTCCGGGGTGGTGGTGCCCGCTGTCCGTGGATGCACGCAAAGAATCGAAAAGCACGTCAAATACAATCAATATGAATAGTGATAGCGCACAGTCGCAAGGCACAGCTAATCTTATTCTATTTTCTGCCATTATTTTTTCTGTTGTTTGCTACGGAACCTAAACAAGGTAATTCAGTTTTGATTAGCACGCATCTTCAGGCCCTCTTCAGCCAAATTTGCTGCTCTCAAGCAGTTTTTAGCTTCGATAGTCGTTATGCAGCCAGATTTGTCTAGTTGTTTTTTTGCATGCCTTGATTTTACAATTTCTTGCAATTTACACAGTTTTTACCAGAACTTTTGTCTGTTTTTTTTGCTTTTCACTAGCTGCGAACCAGTTGTTTTCCTTTCATTTGAGTAAGGAAACAATTTGGTGCCGTGGCTAATGAAGTAGCATAAAATAGTACATCGAATTAGTAAAAGTCTTATGAATTTGTATATTTTTTAATGTATCTCAAATATTTTCTGTGCACGTCAATTTTCAAAATAAAAGTTCTACAATCACCGAAAAAACGGCATGCATGTGTCTTTTCATATCGCTTTGCAAAAGATTTGCCGTACTTGTGACTTGTGCTGCAGACGTCCAGCTCAGTAGCGCGCGACAGCACTGCACCATCCGCAGTGGTATCGACCTTACAGATATCGACCTTTTTGTTTTTATAATTTTTAAGTTATGGCTGTAGTATACTCAAAGGCGAGACTCGGCTATAATGAGGCTGCTTACTAATTTTTACACATTAGCTTGAGAGCCCACCCATCTACCACATGTACCGTTTTCTTGCTCAGAGTTTTATCAGAAACATTGTCTATAGCGCAGTGGCTGCGCGCGCCGTTCACTAAGGTCATTGCTAATTCGGCAACGGGTGACTGCGGAGTTTTTTGCGGCGGACGGCAACGCCCGTCGTGCCCAAGTTGTGACTCGTTTTGGGCGGTTATGACCGCGTCTTCTTTGACTTGTGACGACTTTGGTAGATTACTACTGGGCCTCAAGAGGTTGCCGGCAAATACTCTGTCACCTTTATTTTTTTTGAATAGGAAGGTCTGAAAAATCTCAAAGTGCGACGTAAGCTTCTTTGAATCATTTCCATTTCCACAGCAAAGATTTTCTTGATCAAAAGATCTGAGGCTTAAACAGCTAGGTCGGTCTCTATGGGCCCCACAACAAGATGACGATGGGAGGACCTGAAGTCGGTTAGAAGGGATTACTATCGGCCTTGATCGCCACTCGGAAGAGTAGAGAATGTAAACACTGGGTGGCAATGTGGTAGGCGCCCTAACCCGACTGTCACTCAGATTCGAGAAAGCACGGTAGGCCAGCTTTTGGCTTCGTTAAAGTTGAAGCTTCCAAGTAAAGTCCAAAAAAATTCACAAATACTTCAATTTTGGCAAGGCTTTCTGCAATCTTATTGATTTTTCGTAGATGAAAATATGAGTGGAACTGTTCTTGTGATTTTGTCCATTTGCACAACAAGTTTAGAAGTTTTTTGTGCGGTATGAAGATCATGAACTTACATGAATGAGGGCTCTTTGAATAGGAGAGTGCAGGGCCAGTATGCATCAATTACAAACTGCCGAGGAAATGCGTTTAACCCAGTCTGGCGCCTAACAAAAAGAGACTTATGGTTAGAATCAGTATGAAACGCTAATTTCAAATATGCTTTTTTGACTGCGAAGCATTACTTTGAAGCGAGATATGAGACCTGGGAGCTCAATCCGGACGATCAGCAAGCCCAACTCTTTCAGATCGGGCACTGAATTTCATATCAATCAAATCATATTCAGGGTCAAGCGTAGGGTGTGGCAAGCCACACCTGGGAGGTCGTATTGAGGAATCAAGTAGGGGGGGGGGGGGGAAGGGTCGTTCTCAAGGCGTTCGCATAACATGATATTCGTTAACAATGAAATAGGCCCATTATGCAAAATACTAGCATGCTGATGTTTGACCCATTATCGTATACGTACAGTAAGCATAATTAAGGAACTGTAGAGCATATGAGCATCGTTTTGTAATTAGCAAGCAAATAACCCCTGTGGTCCAAGTTTCAGCGAATTCTGAGGTTTGCAAATACAGGACCACCTAAGTGAGATGGTTGCTTTCAAACATGTTACTTTGTTTCAAAGGTAAGTTAATTACTTCTTTTTGCGCGTAATACAAAGAACTACTATTTTTTCGCTCAGATTAGGAATCCTACTTCAAATGACCTCCAAGTTAAGGGATTAAGAGCAAGTTGAAATTTCGTTTGTTCCATTTTTCTTTTTCAATATCTCAGTCTAGAGAAGACCAGTCAGGCTCAAATCACTTTAATGTAGATATTACGAGGCTTAGACTATCGAATATAAACATTCTTGTCGCCTTCCCTTGCGATTCATGTAGTAGCGCAGACTTAGCATGTTACCGTATCCCAATATTTCCGCATCATTTTACCAGGATTTTACATTTGCTTAGGTAAGGAAAAACGATTATATCTGGCTTTTGAAGAAACGTTTTCATATGAAATTTCTGCTATGTACAGAAGAAGGTTAAGCAGTAAGAATGATATAAAAAATGCAGCTATCTGATCTGTTTGAATGTAGTTAGTGGGGTGTGGCCCCACCCCTAAAAAGTTGTGGCAGCCACAGCTTTTTAAGGGTGGTGCCACACCCCATTAACTATATCAAAACAACATTTTTAGCGAACATTATTTATATGTGTCGATAGCCTGGACCTCGTAGATTTCACAGGAGTAATTTGAGCCTGATTCGTCTTCTTAGCTCTGAGTAATATTTGGTGAAAACACAGCATTGAAAGCGAAAATAGGAAAAACAGGGTTTTGATTGGCTTCTAATTTTGAAGTTGAGAGGTCTTTTGGAGCGAGATTTCTGAAGTGGTTAAAAAAGGAGTAGTGCTTTGTCCTGAATGCAAAAACAGCTAGCTACTTCACCTTCAAAACAAAGTTAATCATGCTGGAAAACGGCGATTTTAGTTGGGTGACCCAGTATCTTGAAACTCCAGAATTCGCTCAAACATTGTCTACAGGGGTTAATTGACGCTAATTATGGATGTGCTGCCCGTTATGTTTGAAAGGGCCTTCAAGTAATGCTATCTCGAGTATATAGTTCAGGGGGTCTTATTGAGACAGCAATAAGAGGGAGGAGGGGGTCGTAACCAGCGATCGTGTGCCACACCTTTTGCTTGACCCTGATCATATCTCGAATCAGGAAAATCTCTTGCAACAAAACCATTATCCAACTTTTCGATGATTAATAAATGATCGCGGAATTCTCTGAATTTCGCGATGTTCACGGAAATTTTGCAGCTTATATGGTTGGTATTGTATCTCCTAATCGATCAGACTATTAGTATTTAAGAGATAATAGAAGAAAACTCTTTCTTAAACATAAAATTGTAAATGAGTATCAAATCTTCAGAAACTATAAAACAAATAAATATAAATAAAAATAAAATAAATGATAAATAACAAAAATAACACAGAAACTATGTTCAAACAAAGTTTTTCAAACAACAACCTGGATGAAAGGTGTGACTCACTTTACACAGTATTCTGATCCATACGGTGTGCAGTCCATCTTGTGCTTTGGATGTGTTTTTCCATCAGTTTCTTCTGAAATCGTTCTACACAGTTGCGTGCGGTTTTATTCCGCTCTATGATCGAAAAACACCCTACCATTGTAACATCTAAGAGCATCTACAGTACGAAGCGTCAGAAAGAAAAGTAGCAAGCCAAGCGAATTCATGGCAGGCTAATTGCGCTGTTTATCTGCAGTAGGAACATCATTAAAGTGCAGCAAGCGACGGCTGCAAGCGGACAAAAATATGAAACTTTGAATGAGTAGGCGGTTGTGTGGCCAACATATGAAAAATGAATTAGTGAAGAAAAAATTGAAGAAACGAAATACAAGTCGGTCTGAAGACGTGGTTATTAAACGGTATGAGCAACAGTGAGAACTACTATGAACATCTGTGACCATGAGAACTAGTATTCCATTTTAATAAGCCGCTTATGGAGCGTTGTTCGAAACAAGTCCCGCCAAACTTAGTAAGTTCTACACAGTTTTGTGAAGTCGCAGTTTTTGTTTCTAAGTTTATACATTTTTTGAGATGTCACAGGTTATACATCTGATGATTCATTGGCGGAAGACGTGATTGAAGAGGCAATTTTAAGCAAGCTAGGTGACGCATACAAAGGTTTGAACGGAAGTGGTAACAATTACGAAACATTCTTGTCAATATTAATAAAGCGTAAAAAACTTGGCGTTATTTTGCAGGATAGCCTATTCATTCTCCGATAGAAAAGGCAGCAATTCGGCTAAAGAGTTTTTGAAGCACTTCATGGTGGTTTGTAGCATTTGTACTACAACTTTTTTCCTAAAATAACTAAGGTTAAAAGCAGAAAATGAAGGTAATGGTTTATATTCACCGATACTATATTGAATGCAACTCAAACTTTTACTCAAAAAACTTACCCTCGCACATTCCTAGTGGTAATCTTAAGAAGAGGTTGCTTGATATTAAAGTGCAGTACAGATGTATAACATAACACCCCATTGTATGTCACATAAAAGAAGATTATGCCAACTCAAAAGTTATTTACCAATGAAATGTTTAAGTCGTATAACATCGTACATACCTGAGACTACGAACCCGGTAGATCAAAGAGCATTTGCTTAGATGCGTGGAAGTGGATATTACCGTGAAGCAGATATTGAATTTATGCATTTACTTGTAGTCAATTTGTAGCATGTTGATGTAGGAGAAAGAAACAGCAAACATAACCGAAGCTGAATGTATTTTTGAGGGGGAAATTAATTATGAATGATGACTTAACGGTAATAACAATAATGTTTGATAATAGAATTTACTCCTCTTTATTGTTCAAATTTGAATTTGTATACCATTTGAAAAAGTAGCACCGGTGGAGCCCTTCACACTAGTGCAGACCATTGGCACAGCGAACTTGAAACTTGGTCTTTTGAGTTTTCCAGCACCTTCGAAACAGACATCGAAACGCATCAGAGTTCAAAGAGATGTTTGGCCTTCTAGTAAGTAAATAAAACAGCAACGCTTCTTACTGGGAGAACTGTCGAAAAGTGATAAAGTGGTCGACATAGCAGACAGAAACACTCTAAACACTTTGAGAGAATCCGGTTCACTATAATACTATAAGGTTGTCCAGAAAATAATGTCGCATTGCATCCTACCGCAACAGAGTGATCACGAAAAACAGTGAATGGGGTATCATTTGATAGAGCAAAGCAAGCTCTACATGGCTCACATATCTCCGCTGAAACTTTGTTTCACCTGAAATTCGAATCTAAAGCATAAAAAATTTTGAGTAAATAAAAAAATCGTATCTCCGTCTCAAATATCATCGGGATCTCCATTTGCATAGGCATGTACTCTTTACATCAGACATCTACATGTACAATTTGTAGAATTTTCTCTAAAACACGAGAAATAAAAATAGGTAAGTGCGAGTGTGTTGCTTTTCCGATTTTTTTGCGAAAAATTTGAATTTTCCTAAAAACTAGACTTTTTAAAGTTCATGTTCATGCTTTCAAAGGCTTAAACTACAGAATTACTTACCTGGGAGAAGCTTAGATTTGCGCTGGCAGTAAAATTTCGTTTTCTCGATTAGCCATGTTAAAATCACGAAACTGTACAGGAGTAATCGTATGTTTGATGTAGGGAGTATGGGTCAGCAAGTTGGGGCTTTTGAGAAATTTTTTGGACGAGCATACGATTTCTTCCACTTTTAAGGCTTTAGTGCCTTTTGAAATTTGGCTTTGAACTTTGCGCATGTCAAAATCGGAGCGAATGTTCAAGCTTCTTCTTGTAGAGCTTGCTTTGGTCTATCGGTTAGTACCCCAATTACTTCTTTTCATGCTCATCCTACCGCGCTACTGCATGATAAAACACGATATGACATTCTAAAATATCAATGCTCATGTTCAAAGGGAAGAATACAGAGAAAAAAAAAGGTGGACACTCGCCTTCCTTCCCACCACCCTTAAGGAAACGTGCTTCTCAAAAAGATATGATACATGGTGTGCTTTTTATGAGCGATGTGTACTTCCAGAATACATAGTGAGTCAGGCCCTGCATGGTGTACTTTTCACAAGGTCACGTCCATCCAGTTTTTCGTGACTCATGTGGTCGTATGTACTGCAGTAAACGGGAAGTGGGTTACTTAGAAAATAGTACTATTATTATGTAAAGAACTGATTCTTTTGATAGATGTTAGACCATATATTTTCGTCCAGCCAAAAATTTGTATTCCTACACTTGCTGAAATCCGAAGTGCACCACTTCGACCAAGCCTGAACGTTGGGCAGCATCTGCGCGGTAAAACATGTAAGTCCAGTTGAATAAACTCCAATGTTGCAATGGAGAATGGAGACTACACTTACGATAGCTTAGTGATGGTGGCACCAGCACTCAAAGTCAAGAGACATGAACAATAGCACTTAAAAACAGTAGCTCGGCAAATCAAAGCATCGGTTTCCTGCTTATCTAAGGTAATATGCTGCGCTGATTTAGAACAGCTATCTTGGAAAGCACGAAATTGGCTAGAATGAGTATCAGAGCTACCAATTTCAAACGTAGACGAGTGGGCGCAAAGATCGTCATGGCGAAGACGCAGAGTCGTTGCGGGACCCTTATGCTTACAGCATTGCGGCATGGGCACTCTGACGGTAAAAGAAAAATCGCAAGGTGGCCGGGGTCGGAGATGGGAACTATAAGGGGAAATTAAAACGCTGCCTTTCGCGTTGGATTTTCTGGAGTTAGGAATGGCAGTGAGGGATCGAACTCAGCCTTTAGGTTCCATTATGTGACATCTACTCTGTGACGTTGTTTTACCACAAGTTTCATTCTGCCGAGCCACTGTCCTTAATAACCGAACATACTTGTTACCTATTAGGTTGTTAACTAAGTCTTGCAACTTCCCCCGTAGGTTTTTCTCTATTTAGATATGGCGCTCTTAAAATTCGGCTTATGTAGAATGGAATGCTAGCTTAAAATAAGCATTCTCTGATTTTTTATAACGAAATAGAAAAAACTAAGCACTTTTCGAAATTAGCGACATTTGAAATTCCACTAATTACAAGCAATGATAAAGCCATTCGCAGCCTTTGAAGATATCGACCTAAATTAGTGCAGAATTGCTGTCAGAGATTGGCTCATTGAGCCTTCAAAAAAGTGGTAGTAGTCGGAGAATGTTCGAGATATGGCGCCTTCAAGAAGTTGAACAACCCAGCTGGACGCAAAATTGATGCTAACATTCATCAATAACTCTTAAGCTAAACCTCAGAATTTACCTGGACTTTGCACTATAGATTAATCCTACATGCCAAATACGACTTTCATATTCAGTTATCGTTCAAACTGATTTCTCAAGATCTTACCAAGAAGGCATTTTTGCGCAAATTAGGTGTGATTTTCGTAATTAGCATGTCAAGAACTCTCTCTCCGCTAATTCCTTTTTACGGTTCACCTCCCGTAATCTTACACAACTTCGCCGGAATTTAGAACAGATTGTTTTATTTGTAGTTAGTCATCATAATCTCAACATTGCTAAAGTTTGAGCATATCATTGCAGAAAGACAAAAGTTATGGAAAAAAGTCGAAAACTTAGGCCCGTAGTAAACCCCCCATCCGGGCATCTCTCTCGACGCGAACCGGAGTTGAGGTCATCGCGCTTCAGTCCAGCATCCAGTGAGCTATTGATTTGGATGTGGATCGCTTCCTAGACATGATAACCACATGTGTTCTCAAAAAACCAACCACTTGAGCTGGTCTGGTCAAACGGATAAGCGATTGGAATCACATGCGCGCGGTCGTGGTTCGACACCGGCTAGCGCCACAACTTTTGCTGCATCGCCGGACAATCTTTGATAGCGGCCATTGTCGAAAAAAATCGATGATGACCGCTAACAAGGATATCACTTAGCAAATGGACAGATAAAACAAAAGTGACATATTTTGACGGAGAATTCATGAAAAACTGAAATTTATGGAACATAAATAAAACGTAATAAATAAGTAGATTCTCTTCTAAAGTAGTTTTTACAAGGAACTAAGATTGCTCTGCAAAGAAAAAGAAGAAAACTTTTATCCTTGCTTTTGTCGCCAAAATCAGCTGTTCATCGATCCTTCCCTTTTCGGGCGCCGGTATTGTGCAGTTTTGCGCCGATTTTTTCTGCATTTTTTGGCAAAGTTGTGTGTATCGTAAGTTACTCAGGAGCAACTTATGTTAGATGCAGTCACCTCTTGTCTGCGTCTCCTCTTCTACACACTATTTGAATCACTCTAACATTCGTTCACGTTGAGGTGACTTGAACGTGAACTGATGTGGAAGAGTTGACTGCGACAGGTGGACAGATGGTCAACTATCAGTTGACTTGACCATCTTATAGCATGGGAACGTGGACGGTGATTAGTTCACCTCACCTAAGGTGAACTGATGGGATAAGTTGAGTTCACCTTAACTGATCAAGCTTTACTACGGGCCTTAGTTAACAACCTAATAATTCCTTGCAGTAAACGCATGTTTCATGGCTACCATGTGATAGAGCTTCTTACGTTTTATCCAGCATTGTGCGTTTCCCCACATTCCGTCCGCCTTCGGAAAATCTAAACCAAAAAATGATTTTCACTTTTTGATTGCGCCGAAAAACGCCATTCAAGTTCTTTGTCTTTCAACCTGCAGATAAAAAGAATTTTTGCATACTTGTTATAACATCAAAAGACTGCTCTTTCGA